GAGTGTTTTCGGCCTGAGGGCCATTGGTTGAGGGTGATGGGAGTGGCGATGGAGGGAGCGGGGGAGAGGGAGGGAGGGAGAGAGAGAGTTGAGATGCGTGAGAGGAAACAAGGACTGCAGTGAGGGAGGGAGAGCTGGTGTTAGTGAATCAGAGATGAAGGTTAAGGAGAAAGGAAAGAATGCAGAAGAAGGAGGGCCGGCGATGGTGAGAAAGGGAGGGAGGAAATAAGTAAGGGACGGAAGTAGGGAAGGAGATAGAAGAGTAATTTGGATAGCTTAAGAAGTGAAAGTTAGCAAAATATGAAAATAAAGTTTGAAAAGGCTTAAGACTGGGGCTCAAATCCTTAGAATGATGGAGGATCAGTGCATAACGAGGACACTAAAAGGAGATAGGGAAAATTCAAAGGATTTGAGTTATAATCAGAATGTGAGTTGGAAAAGTATCAGAATGAAGGGAACGTTTTGGCATGAGGTTCAGAAGGAATGTGAAAGAGGTTGGATACACATTGTTAAGGGGCTTGGAGCAATGAGTATAAAGTAGAAGAGCTCGTTAAAATAGGTCTAGAAGAGCACGGAGTTAACTGACAGTAAATAGGGTGAATGACGAAATCATGGGGAATGGGGAGAGGGTATTGAAGTGTAGGACTTTGGGAAACCATGAATAATGAATACAGATGCTACTTGAGGCCAACGATGCAAGAGGAAAAGTGGTTCGTATGGAAAGGGTAAAACTAGCCGCTATTTCTGGAAAAATGAAAAACGTGAATCTGGGAAGGATAAGGTACCATATGTGGGAAAGCGAATGCAACGGAGATGGCAAGTAACAAATAATGATTTGATAAGTTGATAAATTGGAAAAAACGAATGAAAGTTCAATAAATATAAAAACAAGAAAGTTAGAAGCCAAAATAGTGAAAATAAATCGTGAAAATTAATACAAAAAAGTTCATTCATTTGGGCATTAAGAAACAGTGACGGAAACAGGCTGTAACTGTGAGAAATTGGAAGAGTGATAAATGAACAGTGAATGTTAATAATGAATGATTGGTGAATTAATATAAACTTCACTGAGGGATAAATCATCCTTAATGCTCACAAATCTTGACTTAGTTCATCAGGACAAATCCTGTAGGTCAACCATAGCTGAGTCTTTACTATAAATAAAATATTATCTTTCTATTCCCCCCCTGAATTAATCCCACCATATATAGATTCATATATAATCCATTAATGAATTTCCTCGGAGTTTCAAATGTAATCCTACCCGAAGCTGTAGTCCCAAAAGTAATCCTACCCGAAGCTGTAGTCCCAAAAGTAATCCTACCCGAAGCTGTAGTCCCAAATGAAATTCTACCCGAAGCAGTTCTTCATTATGCAATGAACAATACTATAATTCCCTCGTAATGTAATCCTCCGATACATAATCTAATCTCCAATACTGCAGTCACCGAATAGTACAATTCTCAGTAGACGAGTGCAATCATCCATGGTTTACTCACCCTATTACATTATTATGTAATACTCAGTCGTTTGAGGAACTTGAACTTACTTGATAAATGTAATCACTACAAAGAGTAATTATTTCCTCCTGACATACTGAACCAAGGCTGATTAATATATAAAGTTCAATCTCACGTTTACACGTGGAACTGAAGTGTTCTGAAGCTTAATGCACAACAATTTTGATTTTTTATGGAAATTCAGAACACCATAACATTCAGAACACATTCTGTGTTCAGAATTGTTCAGAAATTCAGAACACACATCTTGGTTCGTACGCCTGGTTTGTTTAAATCACTTAATATTTGACGCTTGATCTGCAGAAGACTCATACACACACACACACACACACACACACACACACATTAAATAAATAAAATATATATATATATAGATAGATAGATAGATACAAAATGTATATAAAAACGCAGGAAAATGTGTATATACACTGAGACGTGGAAGGCACCTCAGTGTCTATATATACTGAGTTGCACAAATCAATGATAAATGCTTAAAGACGACTATTGTTTGTCGTAAATTATTTAATTTACAAACACAATTCATAATTAATATTATTATTACGTAACTAGCTACACATTCCTGTTCCCACGTGGTGTTTTTCCTCAATAACTCTGACATTAATTGCTGTACTATGAACACCGTGTGTAATTACACGACGATGGTGACAGTGTTATTAACGAACAACATTGAATTATTTCACCACCCACGTGAACATTATTTGAAGAATGCAAACATATTCAGCGTTTATATATCTGAACCAAAAAAAATGATTTACGATTGTCTTAGTTCTTGTTTCCAATAGTGTTTTTGTTACTACATATATAATAATACTTGTTATTTTTTTACTTATCTAATTAAATAATGCAAAACGATATCAGTGGCATCATAAAACTGACGCAGGTGATCGTTTCCAAAAGGTATTTTTTTCTTTTGTGTTTCTTATTTAACACAGCGTGGAACAATAGCAGAGGAATTCTATTTACTAATATCCTGATGAGTTGCAGGATAAGCTCTCTGACCCCTTCCCACCACTCATCTTAACCCATACCCAAGTAGTTTTTCACTGGGACTCAGTCCGTCAAGCAGTTTACTACAAAGTCACCAAATTACTAATTCTAGTTACCTGGGACGAACAGTTAGCGATCAGTGCCCAACAGTTCTTCTGGGCCCGATGGTTTACCATCGTCATACTGGCTTGAAGCTTGGTCGGGAATATTCACAGTGAAGAGTACCCGGCTTTATATACTCACGTGGAGTTTACTTCTGTCTTAAACTATTTTGACGACTAAAGTTTATTTGCGTGTTTGTCAGTAAACTATTATGGTTGGTTTATTGACCTTTTGAGGTTATTTGGTCCAAATCCAACACTAAACTAAACCAAGCTTTGTACTCATTATATTGACTTGCTAGTGTCGAACCCTGATATTTTATAGTGCAAGTCATCAATGGGCGACTATTCTCAAAGAATAGTCTTCCATAAGCAACTATTCTCAAAGGTAACTGTTTCTTAGGTGACAATACTTTAGGGCAAGTATGTTTTCCAGGGGAGACCATTCCTTTGGGAGATGTCTTCCAGGTGTGACCATTCCTTAGAAGGAGGTCTTCCAGGGGTGACGTTTTTCCAGCGACGACCATTTCTTAAGGAGACGTCTTCCAGGGACGACCATTTCTTAAGGAGACTTCTTCCAGAGACGACCATTCCTTAAGGAGACGTCTTCCAGAGACGACCATTCCTTAAGGAGACGTCATCCAGAGACGACCATTCGTTAAGGAGATGTCATCCAGAGACGACCATTCCTTAAGGAGACGTCTTCCAGGGACGACCATTCCTTAAGGAGACGTCTTCCAGGGACGACCATTCATTAAGGAGACGTCTTCCAGGGACGACCATTCCTTAAGGAGACTTCTTCCAGGGACGACCATTCCTTAAGGAGACGTCTTCCAGGGACGACCATTCCTTAAGGAGACTTCTTCCAGGGACGATCATTCCTTAAGGAGACGTCTTACAGAGACGACCAATACCTAAGAGCAAATCTGCTGGCCGCCACTGGCGATTTATTGCTCTTGTATCTTCCATTACCCTTTACATTCCTAACTTGGCTCTACGTCGCCTTTCTTTCAATCCAACTTTATCATTTGCATCACTCATCAAACATGAATGTTATTGTTTTTGCGTCAACCCAGACCCAACGATATCATTTGTATAATTATTTAAATTTGCTTCAGTGTTTACACCAATCTTCTGTCAATATATATATTTTAACCCTCGTCATCACCATTCATCGTTCACATCACTTGGGTCTCATCCCTCGTTCATCTCATTAAACAATTATCCTCCCCTTACACCCACATTTTTAATAATGATATTGTCTATATTATTAACTAAAAAATGTTATAGCTCATTATGATAATTACTTGAGAGGGAGAGAGAGAGGAAGGGAGGGAGAGAGAGAGAGGAAGGGAGGGAGAGAGAGAGAGGAAGGGAGAGAGAGAGATAAAACATAGAAAGAAAGACAGACAGATAGACAGGCAACTTAAAGAGGACTGATGACTCTATTTAAATTGCTTTCGTATCCCAGCAAGATCTTGTAGACCCTTTCCTGCCCATTTAGTTTGGAATGCGACGATCTTGACAGGTAAACAGAATACATTTTCATTAATTTCTTGCAAGGTTTCACAAGCTTGTCACAGCTTATTTGGGACTGTACAGAAGTTAATTTCAATATATATGTTTGTTGTTGTTGTTGAGTGTGTGTGTGTGTGTGTGTGTGTGTGTGTGTGTGTGTGTGTGTGTGTGTGTGTGTGTGTGTGTGTCCAATAATGCCTTGGAGGTCAATTCACATGAAGACTTAATATACTCTAACAGACAGACATGTAAACTGGCCAAGACCTTCCCAACCCTCAGAGTAATCTCGTGCAAGTTAAAGTTTTGCATATATCCAATTTCAAGTTTAAAGGGGAAACTTAGAGTGAATTAAAGTTCTAAGTTATTTTGCAACTTTGTATCATAAAGTAAGACGGTTAGCGTCAAATACTACTGAATTTTAGCATTAATTTAAATTCGTTCTTGGATAACCTACACACTCTTGTGCTTCTCTTCCCGCTGAGAATTTCCTTTCCTATTGAGATAAATGTATTTTCATATATATTGGAAATGTTTACTAGAAAAATTATGGAAAAGTATTTGTCCCTAAAAAGGGCAATATGTATTTTTTGGAAGGTTCATAGATTCCGTTTATTAGTTTTATACGAGTGAGAGTTGTGTGATAAATGATGTGGAAGCTGCCTGCTAGAACATCAAATACATCTAAACTATTGTTATTAGATCATTGTCAGGCAGCATCTGCAAGGGTTCTAATTCACATTTACGTGTTTTCTAACTAGGAGCAAGCACAACATCACACAAGCGGAGCTGATGCGAGCGAGAGTGGGTTAAGCCACGCTTTAAAACTTTCAGAGAGAAGAGTGTGTCAACTCACTTTCAGTAGGGGAAAGTTTGCTATCATGAGGTCACTTATAAATTTTCACTGAACACATGCTATCCGACCGGGAAGAACCTGGGCATGGCGATACGCTAGTGCATGGTAAGCGTTTAGTGCATGATAGCCTACTGGTATACACGGGTTTTAAGCGCGGTCGTCACTCCAGACACACCAAGGACAAGCTGGGCTGACGCCAAGGCTGCCCGAGACACACTGACGGTCGACCTACAGGCGCCCGCCACCAGCACAACCCTGGCTGCCGGGGAGGTGGAGACTGCTCGTACCGCACCTGGCAACTGTAAATCACGATAGAACTGTAAGCAGGTGATAATTTATACACAGACAGATGGAAACACACACGCATGCACGCACGTCCTAGGGCCAATGCTCGATCCTGCTGGCACAAATAGGTGAGTACACACACACACACACACACACACACACACATATAATATAATATGTATACATATATACATATTCCTTCAGAAACTTCGTGTATTATTTAATATATATTCGGAAGATGTATACAAATGTATATGGAAGCATCCAAGTTTGTGGTTGTATTTAATCTCGACAGGATTCCTGGACCGATATTTACAGCATCCGGCCCCATAGTTCATCAAGTATTCAATCCAGGGTCGCTAGAGAGGCAGTCCAGTGTTGTATACTGCCAGGTTTTGTAATATATATATATATATATATATATATATATATATATATATATATATATATATATATATATATATATATATATATATATATAGTAGAAGCATACCACCTCTGGTGCAATTATAGGGACCCACAGCCTCAAAGAATGGAACACAAGGCATTCAGAGAAAGCTTGTCATTTAACTCTGAATACGTAAGAGTGTTGTGTTTGCGGGGTTGAGCTCTGATCTTTCGGCCCGCCTTTCAACTGTCAATCAACTGTTACTAACTACTAACTTTTTTTTTTAAAACAAACACACACACGCTCCCCCAGGAAGCAGCCTGTAACAACTGTCTAACTCCCAGGTACCTATTTACTGCTAGATAACAGGGGCATCAGGGTGAAAGAAACTCAGCTCATCTGTTTCCGCCGGCGCCAGGAATCGAACCCCCGGACCACAGGACTACGTATCCAGCATGCTGTCCACTCAGCCACCAGCGCCCTAACACACCAGTGTGTGTGTGTGTGTGTGTGTCTGTGCGTGTGTGTGTGTGTGTGTGTGTGTGCGCGTGCGTGTGTGTGTGTGTGTGTGTGTGTGTGTGTGTGTGTGTGTGTGTGTGTGTGTGTGTGTGTGTGTTTTAAAAACATTTCCCTTCTGCTGATGTTACCTATCCCTCCCTCTCTCCCTCCACTCTCCCTCCTCTCACCCTCTCCCTGTCACACCACCGCCAAAAGTTTTTTCCCCCCACGCTGGTGAAAGGCCAGATTCATATCCTTAAAACCTCCCTGCCGGATATTCCATTTTTTCCCTGCTTCCCGGCCACTTATCCCCGCCATTCTGTCTTTACCTTGGCCTGACGATTCTCTCTCTGCTATCTCAATGAACCAAGATATTTTACTGAGTGCCTCTTGAGTGCGTTCTATCCCTTGTACTCAGCTTGAGTGTGGGTTCTTTCTTGGCCTCAGCTTGAGTGTGTGTTCTTCCTTGGCCTCAGCCTGAGGGTGTGTTCGTCCTTGACCTCAGTTTGAGTGTCACAACATGGGACAAGCCACACGAGTCAGGCTGATCAACATGATTCAAAAATCACTTCAGCCAAACATCACCCCAAACCAAACACCGCGTGAAGAAGGCATAACCTGAATTAAGCATCATGTCATTCAATCATCTCATGAACCGAAAATCACGTTAGTCATGTGTCACGTAAATTAACTGTCACGTCAAGCCACAGCCACGCGAGTCAAACGTCACGTTAAACAACAGTTGTCTGAGTCAAACATCACGTTAAGCAACAGTTGCCTGAGTCAAACATCACGTTAAACAACAGTTGTCTGAGTCAAACATCACGTTAAGCAACAGTTGCCTGAGTCAAACATCACGTTAAACAACAGTCACAGGAGCTGAACATCACGCCAATCAACAGTAGCGCTCGCAACGCCAAGCAACAACCATTCACGCCTAGCTATCACCAATCACGCCAAGCACCCCCCCAATCACGCCAAGCAACCCCCCAATCACGCCAAGCAACGAAATACAGAAAAAGTCTTGCGTATTGGTTATTCCATACTGATAGAGATGATCTCTATCTAGAAAGCTGTTGCGTCATACCTGTTCATGCAGTCAGTTACCTGGTAGTAATTTGTCATGTAAGGTCATTTGGTTAATTATTCTGCAATTGTTTCTCATGCATGATCATGCAGTCTGTCTGCGCTAATTAGTCATACACGTTCCTGCAGTCAGTTAGGTAGCAGTACTCTGTCAAGCAGGTTCATAGAGTCAGTTAGCCAGCATTAGTTTGCCATGCAGTCAGATAGCCAGCACTAGCTTTCATAGAGTCATGCAGTCAGTAAGCATTATTTTGTCAAACAGTATCATGAACCCGCCAAACACACACCGAAACTACGACGTTGGTACAACGTTCGAACAAGTTTTAACACTTCCTAACCAGTTACAACAACCAATATAGCAAGTTGTAACAACGTTCTAATACGTCATAAACACGTTAAGCCAAGATGTAACAACTTTATTACAAGTTGTAACAAGCGGAAAATAGAGACAGTTGCGGTTTGTGTTTCCAGGGAAGTCAGTTTGCCAACTAGAGTCTGACATACAAGGTCATGAAGTTAATTAGCCAGTACTAGTTTGTTCTACTCGGCCATGCAGTCAGAGAGTCAGTCAGCCTTAGTTTGTCACATAGAATCATGCAAAAATAGGTTATCAGCACTGTCCACCTTAGTATGAGGATATCTTAATTAGAGTAATTTCAGAGCATATTCGTACCTCATCCGGTTAGACTTGAGGATGTAATTATCCGGCTTATCTGCCACCAGAGAGGTGTTCAGGCTCCCCTACGGTAGTTCCAAACATTGATCGGAGCTAAAGTAAACTCTCAGTATATATTCACAGCGAACTGGTACACCTCCTGGTATGAATTTCCCTGGAGATGACTGGAGATTCAGTCATAGTCCTGAGGACCCCATGTGTTACCACTGTGAACGGTTACTAGACCTTACTTTACACATCCCGTTCATAGAGTTAACCCCTGGAGTGCTCAGGACTGGGTAATGGCAACCAACATCATCCTGACATTGGCTGTGTCGCACTGATTATTGGGCGTTTCCTGACGCCCTATACATGGGTGACACGAGTGATATGTTTTCACTCAAGGGTGTTCGGTACGATTGAACGGGGTGAGAGCAAAGGGAGTGAGGGAGAAGGGTAGGGGGGCAAAGGGGGTTGGATTGGAAAGCGGGTAGACAAGCGTTCGCAGAAGGGTGCTCGCTACGGTCGACCGCAGACAGCGGAAGTGACACCATCTCTGATTATTAATTAACGTCATTCCTCGTGCTGCAAGGAAACACCTGCAACACTTTTCTAAATCACATTTTGATGGGTTTTTATGCAAGTGTTCGTGAGAATGTTTCAACGCTCACATGGACAGAACAAGCTGTGTTTGTGGAGATTGGTCTTCAGCACTTGGGTCTCGCCTCTCATTCTTCAAGAGTTCTTGAGAGAGATTGAGAGATATATACAAGAGTTCTTACATTCTTGTACAGCCACTAGTACGCGTAGCGTTTCGGGCAGGTCCTTAATCCTATGGTCCCTGGAATACGATCCCCGCCGCGAAGAATCGTTTTTTCATCCAAGTACACATTTTACTGTTGCGTTAAACAGAGGCTACAGTTAAGGAATTGCGCCCAGTAAATCCTCCCCGGCCAGGATACGAACCCATGACATAGCGCTCGCGGAACGCCAGGCGAGTGTCTTACCACTACACCACGGAGACTGTAACCACGGAGTTCTAACAGGTTTCATTGAATTCTAATAGGTTTGTGCTTTCCATTCACTTAAAATGATGATATTTATAGCAACTATTTGGCCAAAAGTGAGACAGACTGCTACCAAAATATACTAATATATATATATATATATATATATATATATATATATATATATATATATATATATATATATATATATATAAACACACAAACATATTCAGATACCTATATGAATAGTCTTTTCATGTCATAAGTGATTCATGACGTGGCCCACAACAATCTATACAATTCAGTTTACATCTGCGGTGAGCCAGTTACACAGTTACTAATCCTTCCCCACACCCATCCCGCTGGACGGCAGCTTTACAGTCATGTGCAGGCTGCACCATCAGCGAGCAAATGTTGCTCTAAGGTTTCGTACCTTCCCGTTCACTCTGTAGCATCCAGTGCAAAAACTATATTATTGGGATCTTCGATTAGAATTGTTCAGATTATGTTGTTATTTTGTGGAGGTACCCGGCTGCGCCCGGGTCTATCCTTCCTCCTCTTTACTCTCCTTCATTCTCTCAATCACCCCTCCAGAGTTTTTGACTCGTTTCTATTCAAGAAATCTAGGGATTATGTGAGTCACCTTTCACTTATTACGTGTGGCTGGATTAGGAGGAGAAGGTTACTCTTGGGCCTAGCCCCCCTCCTTTTAATTGGATGAATTGGGCGGATGCGCACCAGCTTACGTCCGTCCCGTACCCTTAACCATTCAACCCGCAAATTTGTGAGAGGGTAGTCGACAGCATCTGGCCTTCAGCCCTGGATAAACTAACAGACAATTGACGGACTTTCTCCCATATAGGTATAGTTTCAGCCCTTAACAGTCTGCAGATAACATCGCATAAAAATTCTAGTCGTTCCTAATCCTCAAGGCTTCGTCCTTTCTACCGCTGTGCTTGTGTTTTTGTGTGAGTGTGTGTGTGTGTGTGTGTGTGTGTGTGTGTGTGTGTGTGTGTGTGTGTGTGTGTGTGTGTGTGTTTGTGTGTATTTACTATTTGTGCCTGCAGGGAATACACAGACACACACACACACACTCTGTGTGTGTGTGTGTGTGTGTGTGTGTGTGTGTGTGTGTGTGTGTGTTCACCTAGTTGTGCTTGCGGGGGTTGAGCTCTGCTCTTTCGGCCCGCCTCTCAACTGTCAGTTAACTGTTACTAACTACTATTATTTTTCCACACACACACACACACACACACACACACACACACACACACACACACACACACA